GAAGGTTGTGGCTCTTTGTTTTATCGTAAGGATGTATTAGAAAAACACGAACAACAATGCAACGGAGGTAACCGTTAGTTTCGCAAAGTTTATATTTAGCAAAAAAATGTTTTCAACGTGTTTATTGGGGAAATCTGTTGCAAAACATCAACAATAGTGAAGTGATAATTCAAAATTCAATACTTACTGCAATATTTTTCTAACCTCAATAGATAGCTGCTTGTCGTTTATCGCAATTGGTGTTTGGCAGTTACTGATGTGATAATGAACGGAGTAACGGAATTCAAGCAATTAGCGCCCATACAGCCCGGTGAATTTAAATGGTATTGACAATGATGACAATAACGTCATCACTGATGCCAATTGAGAAACGAATATTCTAGTGCATTCTTTTCTACGTTTTCAACGATCTTTTAACACAAGTCTTTTAACAATGAAAAGAACGAAATACGTCATTCGATCCATGAAACCAAACGGCCACTAAACGCTCACTTCGTTTGATTCGATGAGGTGATTGGATTTAGCATCAATGGCCATAGATACGGTTACATATCACAGTGATAGGAAATACTAATGGACAATTACCAGAAATAAGTAGTAAAGAATTATACAATGACATGTCGTTTTAATCCTTTTCACTTTACTCCTTTCACTCAATTGCGCGAAGTTGAAAATACAAGCAGTAATTAATCCAAAATCAAAACTGTTCTCGCCCACACCAAAAAATTCACAACTATGCGTTGTGGGAGATTATATCATTAATGTAACATTAATACTTAGATTCTATTGCAAATATATACAAACCAGTGAATAGTTTCCCGGATTCTAAATTAATTGGAATGTAAAATTTGTTTTATGACACTGATATCTTCATGATCTGTTTTCAGATTAAGTCAATTAATTACCAAACGCAATGATAGAAAAACTAATTATAAACACTGTGACAGCAGTTGTTTTCCAGATGCGAAGACGTATAAATGTCCACATTTTAACTGTAATGCGACCATGCAGGACAAAGGAGAATATAACAAGCATTTCCTAACGCACAATAAACCATTTCTCTACCAATGCAAAAATCCCGGTTGTGGGAAAAAATTCATCCATCCATCATCATTCTCCAAACACAAGAAATCCGGTCAACACGAACCTCAAAGTGAGAAATTCCTTAGTTTTAAGCAATCACTGAGGAGACACAAGCAATTTTCCCGCAGAGCTTCTCAGTTTTGCAAATTCAGCAAAATTCTTAGCATTTATTTATTTACCTGAAATGAATGAATGCACGTGAAAAATACGTGTAACCGTGGAGTCACTTCCTTTGGCACAATAAAGTTATATCTAAGAAATATCCATTCTAGGCACAACGGAAGGAAATCCGCATTTGGGGCATACTTTGGTAGGCACACGAAACCATCACATTACGGGTTAAAGTTCATTAGGTCAGCAAGATCATTCGGGCAATGAGTATTTCTCAGAACCAGGACAACTTGGATTTAGCACTAGTTGGCTCAGATAAGGATACATATAACAGTGAATGGGAAAATACTAGT